ATTTGGCTCTGTGCCACAAGCAGTACTTCGGGCCTATAGGCCCAGCAGGAGCAGCCCTGAGCATAGCAGGGCCTTGCCCTGAGCTTCCTCCACTGTAGCCTCTGGGTAGGGAGATGCAGCCTAGGTGCTCTGCCCACCCAACAGTCACACGGCCACTATCTAGATCAAGCTTCAAAATACGCAGCACCCCTTGACTTCCCTGCCCAAATGGCCTCAGGTTGATTTACAGGCCTTGCTCTGGCTCTTTTCTGGGGGTGCTCTTCTTAAGAGCAGATGGTGCAGCCAGGCACACATCCAAGACCCTGGAGGGTGATACATAGCCCAGAGCTCCAGTGGGAGGGAGGCGCAGCACATGATCCTTCATTGCAGAGGAAGAGGACTGCCTCAGGCCATCACCCTCTGGCTTGTCATGCTGAGACGGAGAATTAGAAACCGAAGCCTGGCCTTCCACACATCCTAGAGATATGTTTATCTAGCTAGAAAGATTGAACATAATCTATTTAGCAGTATATTAGCTTGGTTTGTATTTATACATTTAGTCATATGGTATGTGGGTCTCTACCCATATTTGTGTCCTGAGCCCACAAATAACAGGGGCACCCATGCACCTGACCAAATGGAACCATGTGCCTCCAGGATTCCTAAGGATTATCCTTCAAACAAAGCCAGGAGCTAGAGTGTTACTTCTCTGATGTGTTTCATCTGTTTAAAAATCCCCTTGAGGAAGCACTACAGTCTCTAGTCTGTAGTGACCTGCTGCCAAACCCCACCTCCACACCTCTTACCTGCTTCATCTTGGGCAAGCTTCTTCACCTCCCTAAGACTCATCGGAAAACTGACTGTAACAGGATTAAGTGAGCACATCCTTGGCTGGGTGTGGCAGCTCACACCTATAATCCCAAAGCTTTGGGAATTGAGGTGGAAGGATCCCCTTAAGACCAGGAGTTCAAGACCAGCCTGGGCAACCTACAGCATAGCAAGACCCTGTCTGCAAAAAAATAAAAAAAGAAAGAAAGAAAAAGAGAACATCCATGAGGCACACTTAGTACCATGCCTGGTACACAGCAGGTCTCCGTGAGAGTAGCATTTAAATTCACTTCTGTCTTTGACCTATTTCCACATCATCATTCATGTTTTAGGCTAAAGATTGTAGAATCCTTGAGCTGAAGGAATATATAGTCATTTTGTAGAACATACTCTCTGGGCGGACAAACTTTGGAGTCAAAGAGACCAGGGTGCTCTCCTCCCTTCATCCCCTTCCAGGTGGGTCACGAGGGGTTGTCACTTATCTCAGCATCCTCAGTTTTAAGACGGCAGTAATTGCAGCAACTAAATCAATGTACGATTATAAGGTTAAAATTAGAAAAATACACAAAAATGCCATCTAGCAAGTTGATTATTTTCTCCAAGTGTTGTGCCTCAAACTTACACTGAACTTCATTCTATTTTAAACGATTTCTCTAATTTACTGCGATTCTGAATGTTAGCGAAGTCTGCCAAATGAAAGTGAAATTTTATTAGCCCAGTGTGATGGCACCTGCCTGTGGTCCCAGCTCCTCAGGGCAGGCTGAGGTGGGAGGATCGTGAGAGCCTGAGAGTTCAGGTTGCAGTAAGCCGTTACCGTGACACTGCACTTCAGCTCGGGAGATAGAATGAGACTCTGTCTCAAAAAAAAAAGAGTGAAATTTGTAATTTTTTGGTACATTTAGAATTGTTTTAAAACATTTTTCTGCATTAAGGGAAAAACACTTTCTTCCTTTCTACTCACATGATCAGTGAAATGCAGAACACAGAACACCAGATGTATGTAAGGTTTTTTCCTATGCACCAACCAACTGGGTGTCCTGTAATTCAATTCAATTCTGACACAATCTACCTCGCATCAGATCCCACAAAGTGAGGTCTCAGTCCCCAAAGACTCCCCTCTTCTTCAGATGCCAATCTCAAGTCCGGGCCACCCATTCTAACTCACTAACCACAAACTAGAGCTCAAACAGTCCCCACTTGGGTACAACTAATTTGCTAGGACAGCTCCCAGAACCCAAAGAAACACTTATTTATATTTACGGGTTTATTATAAAGGATATTACCAAGCATACACAGATGAAGAGAGGCAGAGGGTGAGTTTTGGAGGAGTGAGAGCAGAGCTTCCATTGTCCAGGAAGTTTTCATGGAGTTTAATCTCCAGTGCCCTCGACCACCCCTTTCCTGTAGGTTGGTGGGAGGGGCTGAATGTTCTGACATTTTAGTCCTCCAATCATTTGTTCTTTCTAATGACTGGCTGGCCCCATCTTGAAGCTAGCTAGGGACCCTGCCATAAGTCAACTCATTAGCATAAACTCAGGTGTGATCAAAAGTGCCTGTGGGGCCAGGCCCGGTGACTCACACCTATAACCCCAGTATTATGGGAGGCCGAGGTGAGAGGATCACTTGAACCCGGGAGTTCAAGACCAGCCTGGGCAACATGGTGAGAACTTGCCTCTTAAAAAAAAAAAAAAAAAATTAGCCGGTCATGGTGATGTGCACTTGCAGTCCCAGCTACTCGGGAGGTTGAGGTGGGAGGATCACTTAAGCCTGAGAGTTTAAAGCTGCAGTGAGCTGTTTGTGCCATTGCATCCAGCCTGAGTGGCAGAGCAAGACCCTCTCTCAAAAGAAAATCCCAACAGTGGTGAATTTTTTTTTTTATCACTCACAAAATTCTGAGGTGTTCAACAACTTGTACAAGAACCAATTATAACAGAAGATGCTCCTATCACCATGATCACTTGGGCAATTACAAGGGATTTAGGAGCTCCATGTCAGGAACTTGGGACAAAGCCCAAATGTATTTCCTATTATACCAGTTTGTCTCATGGTGCGACTGATTTTATTTTCACTGGAGAGAGTTAATTTCTACTTTGATTCCATTTATATGGCTGGTGCTCACCTTTCAGACTTGGACCTTCAAATGTAAAATGTAATTATCACCCACAAAAAACCATACAACTATTGTGTTGTTTCTGGCACTTTTTTTCCCTTTTATTTCATGTCAGGTAATGTGCTGATGTGGTAACCAGATTCAAGGGTAGCAGGTTTCCCTCCCTCCCTCCCTGCCTCCCTCCCTCCCTCCCTTCCTCCATCCTTCCCTCTCTCCCTCCTTTCCTTCCTTCCTTCCCTCCTTCCTTCCTTCCTTCCTTCCTTCCTTCCTTTCTTCCTTTCTTCCTTCCTTCTTTCCTTCCTTCCTTTTTTCCTTTCTTTTTGGACAGAGTCTAGCTCTATTGCCCAGGCTGGAGTACAGTGGTGAGATCAGGGCTCACTGCAGCCTCCACCTCCTGGGTCAAGCGATCCTCCCACACCTGTCTTCTATATAGCTGGGACCACAGGTGCATGCCATCATGTCTGGCTAATTTTTGGATTCTTTGTAGAGACAAGGTCTCACTTTGTTGCCCAGGCTGGACTCAAACTCCTGGGCTCAAGCCATCCTCCTGCCTTGACCTCACAAACTGCAGGAATTACAGTGTGAGCCACCACACCTGGCAGGGTGACACATCTCACACATAAGCGTGAAAACCCAGTCATCATGCTTATGAACTACCAAAGGATCTCTGGCACTTTTAAAAAAGCCTAATAATTCAACAATTTCACTTGAAGTCACAGTAAAATGCGACAAAAGATCTGAGAAATGTGCTTACTGGAGTCTCTGGACTGTTTCTTGACCCATCACACACATCTCTCCCTTTCTTCCTGGAGGATCACTTGATGAAGGGAGGTGAGTCCAGGTCACTCATAGACACAGCCACGTGGAGCTCGACTGTGCCCTGGCAGCAGACATGCAGAGTCTGAGGCCAAGAGCAGCGGGAATAGGGACTGACGTGACATTTGAATTGGGACTGGTACAGTTTGGAGAGAGTCAGTGCCAGATACTCAGATTGACTTTCTTCCCCTCTTCCAAAGGCATTATTTAGTAGTCTGTTTACACATCTAGCACTTGCTTGCTCTAATAATAGCCATGGGCCTGAATCACCCTCGTCACTGCATGTTACACAGAGTCTTCAGCTGTTTCTATGACTGGCGTGGTTGGTGTTCAGCGCTATCTGGAAACCTCTAAGAATGTGCAGGGTAATCAGTGATTTTAATTTTAGCTATGCGTGACGTGAGGGATCTTCTATTTATTTCTATTGACCTGTCTTTAAAACACGTTGTATAATAATTCCACAGAAAAACTTCAGTATGAATCCCTATGCAGTATATATGTAACTATATACAAATGTGACTTAAATATATTAAGAGAAAATGTATCTTCGTATTATTACTGCTATACATACAATCAATTTGCTGACATAAGTGAGACAAATACCTGTACACCTGTATAAATGAGAACTTGTTCAGTGGGCTTCTGGGGTACTAAGAATATTCAGTTTCTTGATCTGGGTGCTAGCTCCACAAATATATTAAATTTGTGAAAATTCACTGGACAAAAGATTTATAATATACACCCCTTTCTGTATTGTGTTATACTTCCACAAAGAGTTTTAAACATTTAATATGCAATCTTAGTTTTCTGAGGACAAAGCTGAGCAATTACAACAGTATACCATCTACAGACGACAGTCCATATTTAAGCTACACCCAAAGTCAAATGATTTTTGAAAATTTTGCCAAGTCAAACCCAACAGACCTAAATCTCTCATTTAAAGGGGCCTCTATTTTCTCTCTCCCAACCTTCCCCTCCCAAACAAAGATAACATATCTCATCTCCTCACAATTACAGAGATGTGATAAATCAAGTTTTAAAATAATCCTCTCTTTAGTCATATGTATTTTGTTGTAAAATTCCACATTTTTTGGAAAGTGTGGGAAAATAGGCTCACTGATTCACTGTTGATGGAGTACAAATTAGTATAAACTCTTCTCAGATCAATTTGGAACTGTCTATAAAAATGTAAAATGTTCATGAAATTGATCAAGCAACTTTAGAATAATTCCATATCGACATTAGCCCGCCGGAAGCGGAAGTCAGGTGATTGTTGGATTCTAGCGGAAGTGGCTCCGTTGCCTTGGAGAGCTGGAGTGGTCTGGAGTTCCACGGCGTGGTGGGCCAGAGGCCACCTCTCCGGCTGCCTCTCAGTGTCTCGCCGGCGGGGTTCATCCCGAACTGGATAGGCACAGCCCTTGGGGGATTTAAACAACCTAAACATTAAGCAATACAGCTGTCTCAAATCTCTGGGAATTTCAGAATGACTGACACTGCCCAAGCTGTTCGAAACTTTGAAGAGATGTTTGCTAGTAGATTCACAGAAATTGACAAGGAGTATCAAGAATACCTGAAACGCCCTCCTGAGTCCCCTCCAATTGTTGAGGAATGGAAGAGCAGAGCTGGTGGGAACCAAAGAAACAGAGGCAGCTGGTTGCAAGATAGTAGACAGTTCAGAGGCAGGGACAGCAGACGGGGGTGGCCAAGTGACAATCGATCCGATCTGTGGCATGGACGATCCTGGGGTAACAATTACCCGCAACACAGACAAGAACCTTACTATCCCCACCAATACCGACATTATGGTTACAACCAGCGGCCTCCTTACGGTTACTACTGATATAGAAACGTCGGCAGCTTTTATTAAAAGCATTTACTCTGTTACCATGACGAAAGTTTGGATGTCTTCTGTTGGTCATATTTTTACGTATGATTTTAGAGAATGGATTATTGATTTTTTGGAAGCTGGGACTTAAAAAAAAAAATAGATCTTACTTGCGAGATGCGATGGTTGCTGAGAATACCTGAAATTGTGGATTATGTTGCTTGATTTCTACCTCAGTCTTCTTTGTTTGATGATGCAACAGTGCTTTGAGTTTGTTATATTTTTCTTATTTGACCTCTAGGCGTTCTTCGTTTTACACAGAAATAAAAGTCTTAAAATAGAAAATGCTTGCTTTTACTTTGTAAGGTAAGAGAGTATCCATACGCTTAGATGTGCTCCTTTCTGAAATTCTAGAGGTTAATATAATCAGCTCATGAATGCACAGATATGCTTCTTGTGATAGATTGTACATAACATCAGCAGTTGAAAGGTAAAACAATTGCTTTTGTTATGTGACTATGGTATTTTGTGATTCCTTACTCTGTAGATAATGAGCCAGCTCCACATTTATTTGGGTCTCTTTTTAGAGGGAAATCACTAATAAAACTGTAAAATAAGGAGGGAATCATTGTCAGTTGTGTCTTAATCTGGTGGTGGTTGGGATTAGGGTACACACCATCCTATACAAACGCTAAGGCTTTTCGCTAACATAGCAGGTCAGAATTCACACATACAGAAGTTTAACTCTGTGCTGTTCAAACTCTCCTTTTTAATCCTGTAAATAATGCTGCATTTTGATTGTTTTACTTTTTTGGTATTTAATGTGGGCTGATTTTACAATGTTCACTTCCAGATGCATGCCTCTGCTGCTTTCTCTTCTATAAATAGTGATGCTATAAACTTCCTTTCACAGAGATCATTCTATTTCAAATCATTTTCATGGTAATTACAATGGTTTCATTCAAATAAAAAAAAGAATTATTCCATATCATTGGGAGCTAAGTCATGGAAAATAATGATAATAAGAATTATCCCAGAAATACACTGAGAAGTCTGTAGCATTTTTGTTATTTAGACATTCATGCACTCAACATTCAGCTGGCAGATACTTATTTAGTACCTGCTGTGTAGTAGTTGGAGGGCTGGGTTCTGGGGACATACCGGTGACCAAGACAACTGCAGTCCCCGCTTTGGAGGACTCTTAGAATGTCCACATGCCAGTTGGAAATATAGTTATCAAAAATGAATCACACAATTTTTGACTATTACACATTTAATTTAAAATTACAAAGCCTATATCCCAGCACTTCAGAAGGCCAAAAAAGGGGGATCACTTGAGTTCAGGAATTCCAGGCCAGACTGGACACAGAGTGAGACCCCGTTTCTACAAAAGTATAAAAGGCTGAAGTGGGAGGATCACTTGAGCCCTGGAGGTGGAGCCTGCAGTGAGCTGTGATGGCACCACTGTGCTCCAGCCTGGGTGACTGAAAAAGATCTAGTCTTTAAAAAATAGAAAATAATAAAATAAAATTACAAAAGAAACCAATAACAAATTATTTGAATTATTTTAATTATTCTTTCATTTCAATGAAGAAGCATGTATAGAACATATTTAGAGAAAATTTAGAAGACATTAATAAGGATATTATCTCTGAATAAGGTTATGAAGACTATCACTTTAGACACTTCTTTCTTTCTTTTTTCTTTTCTTTTTTTTTTGAAATAAAGTCTCACTCTGTCACCCAGGCTGAAGTGCAGTGGGGTGATCTCAGCTCACAGCAACCTCTGCTTCCCAGGTTCAAGCAATTCTCTTGCCTCAGCCTCCCACCACACCTGGCTAATTTTTTATTTTTAGTAGAGATGGGGTTTCACCATGTTGCTCAGGCTGGTCTTGAACTACTGACCTCAGATGATCTGCCCATCTCGGCCTCCCAAAGTGCTAGGATTACAGTCATGAGCCACCACACCTGGCCAGGATACTTATTTCTTAAGAGGCAGGGTCTTGCTATGTTGCCCAGGCTGGAATGTCATGGTTATTCACAGGTTTCACCCTTGAGCTTCTGGGCTCAAGCATCTTCCTGCCTCAGCCTACCCAAGTAGCTGGGACTATAGGCATGTACCACCATGCCTGGTTTAAAATGTTTGAATTTTTAATGATTACTTATAGGTCTGTGGCTGAATAAATATGTACACAGCACATTTCTAATTGTCTTTTTTTTTTTTTTTAATTGAGATAGAGTCTCACTGACAGGTTGCCCAGGTTGGAGTGCAGTGGTGAAATCATAGTTCATTGCAGCCAGTTCTGGCCTCAAGTGATCCTCCCACCTCAGCATCCCGAGTAGCTGGAATTACCAAGCTAATGCATTTTTTTTTAATTTTAATTTTTAATTGTCATTTTTTAATGTCTTGAGATGGGGGTCTCATTTTGTTGCCCAGATTGCTCTTGAATTCTTGGCCTCAAGTGATCCTCCCAACTTGGTCTTTAAAGCTCGGGACATAGGTGCGAGGCACTGCGCCCGACCAAATCATCTTCTTAAACTAAATTCACAGGGATCATAAGTAACTCTGATGTTAATATGGTTTAGTAGTTACTTCTATTATAGCTGATGAATAGGCAGTATGCAACTGAGGCCAAAACATGCAAATATAACTGCATCTCTGTTGTGTAAGCCACTTAGGACAGGAAAGCAATACTAAGAGTCAGCTCCTTTTAGATAAACTAGATAATAAGATTAAGATACAGAGTGAAAAGCTGGAGAGGCAGGCAGGTAAACTGTCACTGACCAGACACAATTCTCTCCAAAGGATTAGACCTGGGCACAGTATTTTTTAGATGGTTATGCAGAAAGCCCTCTTAATCCGAAATCCAGGCCCAAAAAATCTCAGTGTGGCAAGGGTTAGTGGCATGAATCAGTTAGTCCCGGGGGGCGGGGGGAGGGGAGGTGGGGCAGATGTTACATTGGGTGTCATGATTTTTCAAGAAATGTGCACCTGCATTACTATTTTACTTGGGACACTTTGTATCCCAAGATTCCTTGGTCAGGCCCGTTGGCTCATGCCTGTAATCCCAACACTTTGGGAGGCTGACTCAAGAGGATGGCTTGAGGCCAGAAGTTGGAGATCAGCCTGGGTAACATAGTGAGATCCTGTGTCTACAAAAGAAAATAAAAATTAAGATTATTTTACCACAAGGGAATTTTTAAAAATTGTCTGTTTTTAATTCCATAGGGTTGGCTGGCTGGTGTGTTACATCAAAGGCACTCAAAAGGGAAAAATGTTCTTTAAGGTTGTTATTTATATTTGTTGACATTTATTGATTGCTTTTGATGGGCCAAGCACAGCACTAAACAGATTTTGTGTGTATTGTCTCATATAATCCGTGTAACACATAAGTTAGATACTAATATTAAACTCATGTCAATCCTCCCAATAACCCTATGAGTGGTTACTATTATAAGAACCATCTCACAAATAAAGAACTTTCCCAAGGACACATAGTGAACACGTGGGAAGAGTCAGGGTCCAAACTAAAGTTTGTTATAATTCCAAGCTTGAACTCTTATCCAGACTGCTCTGTATATAAAGAAATACAAGGAAAAGGCTCTCAAATGCGTAGCCTCAGGAAGAGAAAGCCTCATCTCACAAGCATAAAGCTGCATGGACCTTGGAGATATCTAGACCAACTTCTTGATCATCCAGATAGGGAAACTAAGGCACAAAGCTCTTGGTCACACACTTAGTAGCAGAGCCAGGAAGCCTGAGCAGGACTTTCTGACCCCCAGGCCACTTGCTTTTCCATTCCTCTCTGTACTTGTGTACATTAGATTACGTGCCAACAAAAGGGTGATTGTGAACTGGGTACAGCAGTGCACAACCCAAGCTGGAGTGCAGTGGTACAATCTCGGCTCACTGCAGCCTTGGCCTCCAAAGCTCAAAGGATCCTCCTACCTCAGCCTTCTGAGTAGCTGAGACTACAGGTTTGCACCACCATACTAGTCTAACTTATTTTTTTATAGAGACAGTCTCACTATGTTGCCCAGACCATTCTCGAACTCCTGAGCTCAAGCAATCTTCCCACCTCGACCTCTCAAAGTTTTGAGATTACAAGCATGAACCACTGCACTTGACCAAAAAGTCATCATAAAAAAAGAGGATGGCTGGGCGAGGTGGCTCACACCTGTAATCCCAAAACTTTGGGAGGCTGAGGTGGGTGAATCACGAGGTCCAGAGATCAAGATCATCGTGGGCAACATGATGAAACTCCGTCTCTACTAAAAGCACAAAAAATTAGCCGGGCATGGTAGCATGCACCTGTAGTCCCAGCTACTCGGGAGGCTGAGGCAGGAGAATTGCTTGAACCCACGAGGAAGAGGTTGCAGTGAGCTGAGATCATACCACTGTACTCCAGCCTGGCGACAGAGCGAGACTCTGCCTCAAAAAAAAAAAAAAAAAAAAGGATGTTAGAAACTAATCTTTTCCTCCTCAGCATCGTCAGTTCCTGATCTCCCACCCTTCTTTTACTTAAGCTTAACTTTATGTGTCTCTGAGCAAGAATTCCATGCCTAAAGCTATTACCGAAATATACCCATTGTTTCTAAATATTATTTTTAAAATTTCTAAATGTATAATCTAGACAAAATGTTTCACTAAGAGCACACAGTTGCCATGGTATTCAAGACAGAATCTACAGCACACAAACATGTTCTTAATATAGCTGTTTCTAATTACAATAGAAAGCTGCAAGCAGTGAATTCAGGTAGGGTGAGGGGATAAACAAAATAGAACATACTTCATGATTTTTTTACTGTTTTCGAAACCATCATTCCCGACCCCTGCCAATATCATAACTGTCATCATCTGTTGTGACAGGACTGGCATTTGCCTCTGTTTACTGGGAGCATCTGGGGTCTGTGTTACTGTTAGCAATAAATAGATGATAGTCAAAACTACTTATTGACTACTTATATAGAGCAAGTGCTCAGTCATTAAACAAGCAAGTATTGTCTTGTTGGGGT